CGGGACAACAAGTACTTTGGGTAATTATGGCACTGATGGTACGACAAGATCGGGAGATCTGATTCCAACAGTAATAAGCTTCGGGAAGGCCTCTTTGAGGAGGCCAGTGGCTTAATATCCGGCGCAATATAGTCTGAACCAAGATGGGGCGACAGTTTTTGGCCATTTCGCCAGGCATTCGTGAATATTCTATGAGTGGGGTCTATGGGTGGCAGTGCCAAGGCGACACTGAGGAGGAATGCCATAAGCCAGGCTAAGCCCAAGACAGGCATTTGAAACTGGTAACCACTGTTGGAGCCTCCCAGTTTCCATCTTCTATCTTTAAATACACTTTACTTTAAAGCATTTAATCATGTAAGAAAAAGATTGTGATGTATAACGAGAACTACATCGCGGTACTCGGGCGTTCTAGGGCTCTGGGTGGGGGACTCTGAACAAAACGAATTCAAGAGCGGGGAACGAATAAGAAAGTGAGGAGTACTAACTGCGGCTACTGCTGCAGAAGAAACATTCGCCAGAATTAAAATGTGGCAGGCTGCTCCGTGCCATTCGTTGTTGGTTGGCTGGTTCGACCCCCCGGCCCCGCTGCCCACTCCACTGCCGCCAGATTCGCCTGGCTTCTTTCGTTTTATTGAAAATGCTGGCTGAGAAAGAGGAGACTGGTGCTGCAACTTCGACCAGTACCAGCAAATGCTGTTACCGCATATTTTCCTCGCCAGCATTCGACTTGCAACTGGCTGTCGTCTGCGGCACCCAGGCATTCCAGTCTGTTGTGGCAGCACTCTCTTGGAGCTTCACAAGCGACCTAAACTCGCATTAAGTCATCTAAGCCATCTAATAAAAAATATACTTTTATAGACCTTTTCGATTATATCCCTAGACCCTATTACTTATTAATTTAGGACCTCCATTAGGGTATTTGTGGCTGTCATATCGGTTGCCTGCCACTCTTTCTTTGATTTTTTTTTGCAGTCGTGCTCCACCAGCTTGTTGCACTTGAATTGCCAAAGTCAACGGCACTGGGGCTAGATGGCTTTCTTAGCTCTGTCTGCGGCGGCTTCGCTGGCTGGATTCCCGGCTCAGTACTGCGCTGCCGAGATTGAGATTCATTGCTTGTTGCATGCCCCAGCCTATTGACTAGCTGCTTCCCCCAGCCGCGCTTGCATGCCACGAACACACTCATGTATGCCAGCCTGTACATGTGCCCCATGCATCTGGAGAGGCATGCAGCTTGGCAGATGAAGCCCGAGCAAGTTTCTCGTAGACAGAACTGCATTCTGCGCGGCTCTATTCAGTTTTGTCTTCCGTGCCATGGCTGTACTTGGCGGCCTGGCCGACTTGTTCCTGCAACATTGTTGCCCTGGCAGACCCCCCCACCCCATTGTCAGATTGTACAGCCAATTGGGCAGGGTATTATGTAAAGCGTTCCATTTGGTTGCCAATTTTTACGGCTTAATCAATATTTGAGTTTGAAATTTATTTTTATTTTTTCCCCGGCCGGGTCCCGCTTTTTATGCTCCGTGCAGGTAAGCTGCGTTTTACATTTTGTTTATGTTGTTGTTTTCCAACTACCTACGGCGGTAGCAACAAAAACAACAGCATAATGGCTAAACCGGCTAAATCGCATGATTGGCCGGAACGGGAACGGGGGGGCGAAACGACGCCAAATCATTTAACGAGCCCGGCTTAGATTGGGCGCGTATTGTTTTATATCGGTGACCTCGTGCAGCCTACACTGGCAGAAGGTTCTGAAATGGGAGAGAAGGCTCTATCTTTTTAACGAATATAGAATATTCTTCCATGCATAGGTTTATAAATACATTTTCCTCAGTGTACTGCCATGAAAGTTGGCAGCAAATTGCGCGTAAATCCCATAAACCGTTTACAACTACAACAGCTCTCCTCGGCGGCGTCATCGATGACGATGCTGGTGCTTATGCTGTTGATATTGCTATTGTTGTTGTTGCTCTGGCTGATGCCACAACTGCCGCCGCCTGCAACAATAACAAAGCGATTTTTATGCACACAGACATTGGCTCGTCGTCGGTTTTAACGCTCCTCGGATATGGAAGTGGAAGTGTTTTTTTTTGGTTCCATATCCCATCCATCCAGCGGGGATGAGGTTGACGAAATGCCGCCCCAACAGCCAGCTGACAAAGCTAAACCCCCGCTTCGGTTTATGGACTAGCCGGGCTAAAGGTCCTTAAAAAGGGAGCACAAAGAACTAAATACGGAAAATGAAATTTATTTTTATTAGCCGGGGCCCGTGGAGAGGGCGCTTCTCCAGGCCGTCCGCCCTCTTCCAATCAAAGGCATCATTTGCATGTTGGGGGAAAGAAAAGTGCATTAAGGGATTTAGGTGTTGCATGTGTGTGAGTGTGTTGTTGTGTCGGTGAATAGAGGTGTATGCATAGGTGGGCTCTGTCTCCAATTGGGAGCCTTAAATTTCATTCGATGGATATTTTTTTTTCCACATCACATGGTTTTGAAAACAGGAATTAGTTTCAATCGAACTAAAGGGGTTATCCTTCATTATTCGACAACCGGATTGTCTCTCATAAGTTACTATTATTATAAACGATATATTAAGTTTGAAAAAAAGGATATTCAGACCATCGTGGTTCCAACTAGATACTTGAGTATAATTCAACCTAACAGTTTAAAGATATTAATGCTATCCAGATAATGGTATTATTCCCTTACTATGTTGAGATAAGGAAAGGATATTCCGACTTGGAGAATCATCATGGTTCCAACTACATTCTTGAGTATAATTGAACCTAAGACTTTAAAGATACTAATACAATCCAGATATTGATATTAGCTCACCATGTTGAGATGTCCTTTGAGACTTGAAGAACTCATCAGGGTGTATAGGATTAGGCATTCTAGCTCTAGTTACTAAGGTTACTAAGCTAGTTACAGGATATCTTTACAATCCAGACTACTATATATTCCCTATCCCGATAACACAAAGCTTGCAAAGAGCTTTCGCGTAACAGCTTTGGACTACCCCTTGCCAACTGTTAGGCCTCCAACTACCCCTTACAACAAAGTCTGCTCGGAATCTACCCCTGCCGCAGGGGGAGACCGCCCCACGCCACCACCCAGCCGCACTCCCACCGCCCGCATACCGCCGCCGAGTTCCACCTTGCCGACATGCGCGCTGCCGGATTTCGGAGTCGACGTCGGCCGTGGGGTCGGTCGGAAAATTCGGTCGGCTGGCCGTTCGCTCCGCGCTGTCGGCTTTCCCGCGCTTCGGCACTGGACTCTGTGGCGTTTTTGGGGGGTGGCACGGGCTCACCTGAAGGCCGAACCGAGCTTCGGCACGCCGTGCGTGCATGTGGGGGTGTCTGTGTGTGTGTGCGTGGTTCATGTGCCACCCCCTTTTGCTAAATTTCCGAAGCAGGTGTAACAATTATTATTTTCTCGTTGATTTTGCTGCCGACGTCGTTTTGGCTTTTTTCTGCTTCTGCCGTGTCCGTGTCTCGCTCCCTCTCCTTCGCACACCTTTGGCGGCCGTCCCGCTCGCACCTTTGCCACCGACGGGCGCGCACGCATGGCGCATGCATCTGCTGTCTCACGTAGGAGTGCGTATGAGTGGGTGCGCTTTCCCAGCGTGTGCCGCCTGTGTGTGTGTGTGTGCGCCAGTAATGTTACTGCAACAATTGAGATTACAACAAAGGTAGGGGTGGGGGCTGGCCTGGCGGGCCACCTTTCGGCTCCCGATCCTCGAATGTCTTATACGGGCTGCTGGCGACCTCCCCTCTCGCCCCCACCTGCAGCGTATAAGAGCCCGGGACACAATGGACGGTGGAGGGCAGCACACCTGAGAAAATCACCGCAGCGAGGAAGATGCCATCATATGCGAACCGGCAGGTAGCACAGAGCCGCCGAGAGCGGAGAGGCATGACAGAGAGCGAGCGCGGAAGGAGAAGGCTGGCTGGTGGCAAAGGTGTGCTACTGACGGTTTTTCGGAGTCGCGCTCTGCCTGGAGGAGAAATTCTGCCGACCAGAGCCGAGGCCGTGTGCCGTTCGGGAGAACTCTTCGTTCTTTTGGCCGATTCAGGTTCTTGGGCGGCCCACTGTTGCTTTATTTTGGTTAATACGCGTCGGCGTCTCAGTCGGCATCGGCGCAACAGATTCAATCCAGACAAAAGCAGCGACGCTCGCAGAGGCGTCCGACTCCGAAACAAAAAGGTATATTACCTTAGAATGCCTGGCGCTCTTACTTCAGTCTTCGTACAGTCTTTGCTTTAACCCGTTCCACGTTCCAATCTGTCCGCCGCTCGCTCAGCTCAGCTCGTTGTGGCTCTCTATAGGAATCAGAATCGAGAATCGAGAATCGAGTGCTATATGGTAGAACAGCAGCGGCAAGAGCAATAGCAGCAACAGCAGAAGCAGCAACAGCATCGCGTCGGTAGTCTGTTCCGTTAGCTATCGCCTAACTCGGAAGTCCGCAGCCTCTGTCTCAGTCTCAGTCTCAGCCTCAGTCGCAGCGAAAGTCAAAGTCCTAGTTTCTGCCGCCGTCGCAGTCAGCAGCGCATCCACAACACCCAAAAACCAACCACCGCCGCCACACACCTCCATCGAAGCAGACGTCACCACCACCACCCCCGTAGCAGCAGCATCAAGAACAACAGCAGCAGCAACAGCACTCACGAATTTCAATATACAAATCAAAGTTGGGCTCAAATCGAAATCGGCCGCAACAGCAGCAACAACGCCTCGCAACTCCCGCGGATAATGACGAAAAGTAAAAAATAACACGCGCAGTTCGCATCCAGTGCTCGGCTTGAACAGATCACACCTCCAGTACCACAGTACCACAGTATCCAGTATCCAGAATCCAGCATCCAGAATCCAGTAACACTCGCCCCAGTTAACAAAAAAAAAACAAAAAAAAACTTTAAAACCGAATTCTAATCCGAGACAATCAATCGAACTTCTTCCGGCTTCTCTGTGGTGTTTTCACTTTTCGCGTGTGACTCTAATCAAAAGTCTTAGCCATCCTAGCCAAGCTTTATTTTATTTTCCAAGTGTCCACTTAAGCACCTTGCGCTCCCAAAACGTAAGAATCCTGAACAATAAGACGGAAAGATGACCATTTTGTGCTCACTTATAGCTCACTATATGTTAACGATTTAACGGAGGGACGGGCGGGGAATAGTCGAAAATGGCTTGGGCAAAAGTTCGTTGCTCGCGAAGAGCCGCTCTCCAATTCTTCTGGTTGATATTTCCCATCATTTCTTCGGGCCTTGGCAACAACAAGTTCTGAGTGGCGAGCTCTCAGGTCTGAGTTCTGAGTTCTGAGCCACATTCCCTCTCTTATGAGTTGTCTGTCCTGTCTTCTCCCGATTATGGCCCAGACCATAGCCGGCTCAGCAGAACAGAAACCCCAGCAGAGTCTCGCCAACAAAGAAACACGTTTTTGTGTTTGCGAGCCACAAAAAAAAGTAAATAAAAACAAAAGCAAAACAACTCGAATCAAATGCGAAGAAAAGTAAAACAAAGCAGCAAAAAAAACGCAGACGTAGTCTTCCTCAGTTGAAGCCATTCGAGTCTAAGGCCTGGCCATAAAACCTTATGGCCCAGCGTTCCAATAGGCCGCACACACAGACACCACCGTACCATCGGATGTGGCTCAGAGCGGTGAGCTGGGAGCTAGGCCAGGCCGTAGTCTCTTCTCGGCCACTTGTCGCTGTACTAAGTACGCTTCCAAATAATTCCCGTAGTTAATTTTTATTGTTGTAATTACACGTCGTCTGGCAGAGCGAGGGGGGGGGGGAGTGGGACGACGACGGCGATTCGCCCCACGCGGCACTTCTTGCCGTGAACTCTTCTTACCTGTTTCGTTATGTACGGGCCAGCGGGCCAGCGTATGTACAGCGCATATTTATGTGTCTGTGAGGGTATGTTTTGCACCAAGCCCAAGTGTGACTCAACAAAAACAACAGCGGCGGTTGGTAGCACAACAAACCGGTAAAGCTAAAGAAATATCGTGCGTGTGTTAATCAGACGAGAGCAGGAGGTAGGAAAGACGAGCACTTGGCACTCATTTTCGCTCACCAGCTCACCAGCTCCGGCAGCTCCCGGCCCAAAAACGTGTTTATTCGCAGCTCAGAAGCAGATAATAAAAGACTGCCTGCCCGGCCCGAAAAAAAAACCTAAAAAAAGTTCAATTATTTATTTTTTTGAAGCGCACAAGCGAGCACAAAATGATTCAAAACGCGAAACATTCCGTGATTTTTTTATGCCTTTGTTCCAGAGCCACAATTACAAGACCCATCCAAACAAATTATTGTTGAAACAGAAAACTGAAAACTGAAAACCAAAAAAAAATATAAATACATCAAACAAACTCTTCATCCAACTCTTCAACGACTCTGACTCGACACCTAATTGGTAATAAGAGCTAACTATTATTAAATACTCATGCCCATTGTGTCTCGTTTCCTTGTTTCTTATTTTGTTATCAAAATTGATATTTAATTTATTTGGCTCATCATTTTTTGTACAGTGGCTATTTTTTCGTGGAGCTTCATGTTTGGGTTTGAATTGGCAACAGAAACAGAAATTTCAGTCCAAAGACGAGACATTTCAAAAGTTTATTTTTTTATTTTAGTTTATTTGTCACATTCTTCTATTCCATCAGAAAGTAATCACACCAATTCTCATCTCTTGCCCAGCTGTAAAAACTCTAATAACTCACAAATAATAGAAGTCAGAACCCAATGGCATCGAGTGTCCAAAAGCACATTCTGGTATTTCTCTAAAACCCAAAAAAGAAACTCCCTTCCGATTCCGATACCCACCCGCTCCAAAAAAAACCCACCCATCAGAAATCAGCCATCAGCAATCAGCCATCAAAACATGACCAAAAGAACCCCCATTAAAATATAAAATTAAAGAGATTAAAAACCTTTCAAAAATCACAGCAAAATCACAAAACAAGAAACGGGAGTAGTGGCGAATTGTTGCTAAGTCGAGTGAACTTTATTGGAGGCAGAATCAGAATAGTATTTTAAATATATATATATATATTTACACACAAATCGCAGAATCCTCTTAGGACGCTCGCGGTAAAGTTAATTGTGAATTTTATATGAATTTATATATATTTGTGTGTTGGGTTTTAATTTTGAGCGCGATTTAAGGGCGTTTGAAGGCAGAACGCAGGGGAGAATCAATTAGGAAGGTTGCAAACCGCAGAAGTCGGCAGAATATTATTGGAAAAACAGTGATAGCTAGGATAGATAGTCGCAGGATATCCGCAACGGAACAGCGGGCTAGGAAAAGGTTGTTTAGTAATCAGAAATAAAGTATAAATATTTACAAGAGCAGAAGGAGCCCAACATATCAGCATCGCAGATCAGAGAAAGTACGCTCCAGAAAGGGAATAAAATAAAGGAGACGCATTGATAAGTAGCTGGATAGTTATCGGATAGTAGGTAAACAATCAAATCAAACCATCTCGGTTTAAAAAGGAGCTAGGACGTATCATCAGGCGTGATAAAGTCAATTTGTAATCTATAAGCACAGATCGTCAATCAAAGGACCCACTACCCAATCAGTCCCTCAATCTCAAAACGATATTTTAATGGTAAACTCGTCTCCGTAGGTAGAGTAAGGATTACAGTTTCTAGGGTTAATAGGAGGGATCGAAGGGCGAAATCAATGCCTCGATCGACAAGAAATCGCGTTTTGACAATCACACGAAATTAGCGTATTTCATATACACATCATCGCAGTAGCCATTGCGCGATATATAGGATTTATATACACTCCTCGTATACATCTCCTCCGAAGCGTATATTTATAAAGAAAACTTTTGCTAGCTTTAGCACTCTACCTTTACTCTATGACAATCTCTAAGACAACTAACTGAAACACTTATATCAACGTATCAACAATCTACAATCAGTCTACAATCAATCAAACTTTAAACAATCTTAACGGTTTTCAAGTCTATATATACAGATCTACATTATTATAGTCCACTACCAGTAGTGATATTAAGCATATTAAGCATATTACGATTAGACAAACACTTTAAATACCGCTCAAAATCCAGTAAAACTCAGTAGTCATAAATGTTGTTTAGGTGTCTTTTTCTCAAGTCCGCGACTAGTTGAAGCAACAATTCGCGTAAAGCTTAACGTACACAATTGGCATAGGCAGTGATTCAAGAAAGTAATTGGCATTGTCTCCTCACAGTAAGGGAAGCAAGCATCATAACCCCAAGCACACACAGTACCACAGTTACCACCCCGCATAACTCCTCCTCGACCTCGACCTCGACCCAACGACCCAATCTGAATCCGGCGAGAAAATACCAAACTAAAGTCGACGCTATCACGAAAGTTCAAACTCGAATCGCGCCACAAATCACGGAAATAAAGCCCGGGAAAGCAAGTGAATAAATAGAAACAGAGAGCAGAGGAGTTCTTTAATCAACATTTGTTGCCAATAAACTGTCATCATTGCCGCGTTAACAGAAACCACGGCGTCCGCAGCGATTGCAGCGCTCAGTATCAGCAGCAGCTCCCAAGCATCGCTAGCCGTCAACGCCAACGCTAACGCCGCTGCCAACTCCAACTCGCCAGCCACGCCCATTGCAGCGCCGCCCACAACACCGCCAGCGGTAGCAGAAGCAGCTCCAGTAGTCACAGCTTCCGAAACAGCACCGCCCGGGGCAACGGTAAAAAGCGAGATCATCGTATCCGGCTCCGAATCGGCCAAGTCCTCCCCTATACAAGACTTAATCATGGTAAGCGCCGCTTAATCAGTCGTCCTAAAACCCAATTAAACCGCACCCGTCAGCCTAATCTGATCTGAAACCGAGACATCAAAATTAGAATTGCAATTAACACTACCACCCCACCTGTGCAAAATAAATAAACTGAATTCGAACCATAATCAGGACCTGTATATCGATGACCACCTTGCCATATAAGACTTGTTAACTACTATGATATGTAAACCATGAAGCAAAGATATATAATGAACTTGTACAGTTTACTATGCTAACTCCTAACTATTTTTGGTTACATCTCTCTCTCTCTCTGCCATAATTAACCTAACTCTACCCTAATATAACCGCCACTTTCTGCTTAAAGAACTTCTTCTAAGGCAGGGTTTCCAGCGTCCAGTGGCTCGGCATGCGTTAATTATAGGTTTGAGCTTAAGATTATTTTGTTAAGTTTTTGTTACCCACTAGTCTTTATTTAAATCCTTTGTATATAGTTTACTTTTAAGTTCGCTGCCGGTCCAGCCATTGGCGTGGAAACCTAATCGGATCGAGTCGAGGTCCGACCCGTGATCTGGAAAGGTTCTTCCACGGTTGCGGGCGGGCCTGGACCTCTCCAAATTGGACAACTCTCTGTGCTTTCTGTCCCCCGTCTCTGCCTCTGCCTCTAACTATCCCGCTTTCTGGTCTCTACAGTTCCTATCGTAGACTACTATCCACTCGTAGCGCTCGCTGACTCTCACTGCCTCTTACTGCCTCTCACTGCTCTCCTTCTCTGTCACCTAAGCTTCCACCTACCAGTCTTCTATCTCTGGCTAACTATCTCAGCTATCTAGATCTTGAAACCCGAGTCTTACACTGTCAAGCCTCCTGTAGCCCACTCCTTTCTGCAGCTCCCAGAACACAGCTTTATGATTTTAGAGGATCAATCCCTGAGGGAACCACCACTCGACACCGAACTCCGAATACACTCTTCAGTTCAGTTCCTTGCATTCCTTTTTTATGATTTTTGGAGAAACAGAGATCCAATTCAAAGACCAAACTGAAACCCATAACAAACAACTCGCCAGAAAATAATATAAACCAACCACGCACAGCAAATGCAATTGTTGCACGCACCGCCGTCCACGCATCCGCATCCACATCCGCATCAGCATCCGCATCCGCAGCACCCGGCTACAGCCGCCGCCGCCTACCAGGCCATGCAGGTGCATCAGCATCAACAGCAGCAGCAGCAGCAGCAACAGCAGCAGCAGCACCAGCAGCAGCACGCGGTCTTCCACCAGCAGGTTGCAGCATTTGCCGCACAACAGCAGCAGCAGCAGCAACAGGCGGCGCAGCAACAGCACCAGGCGCAGCAGCAACTGCACCAGCAGTTCCACTACCAAGCCCAGGCGCAAGCTCAGGCCCAGGCCATGCTGCAGACGTACATGCAGTTGCAGGTGAACAGTGCGGTGGCTGCTCCCGCCACGCCCACCAAGCCGGCGCAGCCCTCGCAGGTGCCGGTGCCCGTGCAGGTGCCCGTCTCCGTCTCCGTGCCAGCCGTGCCGGCGCAATTCTTCGCCGCTCCGAGCACCCCGCTGACGATCATTCCGGCGGCGGCGGTGGCCTCCTCGGCCATGTTCGCCACCGCGGCCACCCCCACCTCGGCGGCCACTACACCGACCAACAATGTAAATAATACAGTTAATCTATCTGCCGTAACTAGAACTACTACCACTACTACTAAGAAGCAGCCGCCGGCAGCAGCGGCTGGGATCCTGGGCGCCGACCCCGCCGACGGGCTGGGACTGGGCTTGGGTGCCGTTGCTCGGGGCGAGGGTGGTGCTGCCTCCCTGCTGGGGTCCGCACCACTGCCCGTGCACCCTCTCCCGCATCTCCTCCCGTTGATTGGGGGCGCTCTCGGTTTCAGTAGCGCCAGCAGCGGCTGCAGTTCTGCATCTTCTGATTGTTCTATGCCATCGCCAACTTCACTACACTTATCTTCTCCTAAAAAGGTTTGTGTGTTCACTAAGCGAAACTCTAAACAACTCTCCTCCCAGATCCTAAGTTCTTCAGTCGCTCTCGTGCCGAGAAGTAGAAGTTAGCTGCTTTCCTTTTTATTTTACTAACCACTAACCAACACACATCTGTACCCACCCGCTTTGCCTGCCATTTGAACTATCATCTCTCCTGGATGCCAACCAGAACACTCATCATCTCACACTGTACTGTACTAACTCTCGTAGACTCGTAGTTCTTATTGCTGTTGTGTGCTCTGGTTGTTGTACGTAGTTGCATCTCACGTTTCGTATTTATTTGACTGCCCTCTCCGATATCTGTAAGATCATTAAGTTAGCCCTAAGAGAACATGTATGCTAGTCATAGTACCATTATATTAAGCCCTTTGACCTTTGCAGGCTCTTGCACTCTACATATTATTTCTGCCTCTTGTTATCCTTTTTTTTAACTATTTAGTAAAGAGCCCAAAATGTATCCACCATTAAAGACAATAGTGGACAACTGCCATCAAAAATTTATAAATTTTTTTGATTTAATAGATGTCCTCCCCCTCCTCCTCCCCAGGTAGTTCTCCTAGATTGTCGCAATGAGCTGGCTCGCTGCATATTTTATTTATCAGCCATAACTATCGCGTTGCAGGCGTGCATTAGCCGCAGTTGTTTGGCCAGCACTTACGACCTGCACTGCCTCGGCCATCTGTTCCGCCTCCTGTTGATCCTCCGACTGTCCTGGCCTCCAGCCCGTATTGATTAGTCGGCGATGAAAATGTCGCTGCAATTTGTTAGCAAACTGCAGCGCGGAGGGAAAAACTGCCGCCGCCTCCTCCACTGCCACTGGCCCAGCTGTGGTCCGTGCCGGGGGCCAGGCCTTGTATTAGGTGTCCTGGAGCCTTGGTGTTGGATGTCGACGGTGCGTGTGTGTGCTGTCTTTGTGTTGTAATAGGGAAACCACCGCCGTTGCCTGCCACATTTATTATCGATTTATCGCGGCACACAAGGTGGAAAGGAGTAGTGGCTGCCACTGCCACTGCCGCTGCCTCTGCAATTACCCCCGACTCTCGTTAATGTTTAAACTGTACTTAAATGACTCTATTATGAGTAGCCCTTTCCCCGCCTCGCCGCCTTCAGCATTAAATTATCTGTAATTGATTTTGTTTAACACAAGCGCCCCTCCTGCGCCGCATCGCCCCCGTGCATTATCCATTAGCCCGATTCCGAATGTTGATTTTAGTTTTTGCCATATTTGGCTTGGTGTAATTATGGCTGTCATTCGGAGCAAAAAACGACGGCATTTTAATATTATTTTGTTTAAACTTGCCACCTGCGAGTGTAGCTACAAGCCACATTTTGGCAAATATTTGTGTCAACATCAATGAGCAACTGCCTGGCGAGTGCCAGGACATTTCCGGGGAAAAAGCTGGAAAACAACCCCAAGGTGCTAATAAAGACCGCGAACAAATCCCACAAGCCGCCGCCACACGATAAATAAGGATATTGACAATAAAACATGAAAGATTCTCCGCCGAGGGTAAATAGAAAATTTTTCAAATTAGTAGGAGGGCGCCGGGGGATTCAAATAAGTGTGTTAGGCGGCAGAAAGTTGGCGGGCAAGTGTAGTATGAACTCGCTTTGAAGTACCGGATGATTCGGAGTCAGTCAGGCTGCACTTCCAATAATATGCCAGTCGCCAGTGCCAGTGCCTGTGCCAGTCGGCAGCGTGGACGGCCCTCGGCCAACTTACAAAAGCACAAATAAACTTTTTAAATTTAAAAATTCATCAAACTTTCAAGCCGACCCCGGCCAAGTCAAACAAATTAGATGAGCGACGGGCGCGGGGTGCGGAGATAGAGTGCCGGACAGTCGAGCGAAATAACACAAATACGCATTATACGTACAGCGGAGCATGTCCTGTATATATGCGTAAAAAATTACATTAATCCGTAATCGAAAAACTTGACTCCTCGAACACGGTGCAAAAGTTTCCGCCTCGCGATTCGTAATAAGCGCTTTACAAGCGGCCGGGGCCCAGCACGAAAAAGTGTTTTCCAACTACAAAATTTCAATTATTCCCCGGCTCACGGGGGTCTTGTCCGGCAATAAAACAATTTAAAATTTAAATGCACCAAAGTGTCCCTTGTCCTTGCCAGCGTGTCCCCCAAAGTGTGCCAAGAAATGGGACAAGCAATATGTTGTCCAAAATAGGTGGGGGCACTGGCAGCAGAATCGCTTCGTGCTTGCAACAAATTGAGATGAGAAAATAAAATTCAATAAACTCTTGTTAAGCACGCAGCGATGGAGGTCATGGGGGGCAGCAGGGATCGGCAGCTGCGTGCTCCGGAGCAGGACAACGTTTTAAATATTGACAGCTTCGAAAAGAAGCCTGTTCGTCATACCTACCCGGACTGTCTCCGACTCCGTCTCCGAATCCCGAATCCGATGACGAGGCTTCCAAGTAAATAGATAAATCAACCCCAGAGACATGTACACCAGGCGTTTTTGCATTTATCAAAAGCCGGGTCCGGGCGCCGGAAGCAGGGAGCCGGGCGGTCTCGCCAGAGGTTGCGTAGGGACTATGTCGAAGGACGACAGGACATGATGCCGAGCATTGTTATGATTTATCCGGCCCTCAATCGATTTTCGTAGCACACTTTTTTGGGCGGGCAAGAGGTGCCTTGCTTCCCAATCATAGCGGCACCCACAATTGCGCTAATCAACGAGCTCTCGGTGTTCGAGGATTATGCGAGGACCCAGTACCAGGAACAGTGGTCGGTAGCCCGACAGAGGCCCACTGTGAGCCTTTTGAGGGTCCTGCTGTTGGTTTTCCTTGCACTCGCCTGTCGTTGACAAATAAATTAAAAAGTTATGACTAAAAACGTTTCTTTCTCGGCAATGGAATGAAATTTGTGCGCTCGGACAGCGTTCAGTGCTCACTGCTCAGTGCTCAGTGCTCTGGCGATGCCGCTGGCCAAATTTAAATTGCTTTTGTTGCGCTTTTGTAGTTGTTGTCTAGTTGTTCTCACTGGAGCTCCTGGCACTGCTCCTGCTCCTGCTGCTCCTGCTCCTGCTCCTATTCCCACTCATCCGGCGGTTGCTGATGATGATGATTTTCCTTTCTGCAGCGCAAGTTTTCTTTGTTGTTTGCACAAATAGTTTTGTCGCCAACGCGCTTCCATAAAAATGCTGCATATTTTCTTTTGAATGGCGCTCGGGAAAAATCTGAAAAAAATCAAATGCGAAAATGGTGAAAGTGTGTGTAGCTGCGAATTAAGTTTGCCGTTAAACGGCCACGGCTAAGCGCATTAAGAAAAGTTTTTGCATCCACTACTGCTATACCGTTCTCCATCTCCATCTCCATCCTCCTTTTTCGACCAAAACTTTTTCAAAATCATTAAAAGCTTAAATGCGGCGACCAGCGCAGTCTGGAATATGAATATGAATATTGAATGTGTGCCGGAATGAACTGAACCGAGCCGACGGAGACCATTAAAAGCGACCCTTTTCGCCCTTCGCTCCATCTCCAACGAGCTTGTAGTTTTTGGAGTTGTAACTTTGGCTTTTATGAGCGCAAAATATTTGCCCTCCAGTGCACTAATCCACCAAGCTCCAACCAGGATGGATGCTGCCAGAATGGAAAACTAGCAGTGTGTGGCATGTCAGCGTACGAGCACGAGCGGGGGCACAACCCCAATCCTCCGACCCTGGGGCCCGGGCCACTCACTCAAACTGGAGGCGACAAACTAACTTATTAATATGCAATGCACACTTTGTTGCAGTATTAATTGCAATATTAAATTTCCACTAATACTCGCTTAGCAGGACTTGCCTTGCTGCCACACTGAGAAAAAAACTGTCCTCAAAAGGGGGTGCTCACCCAAGTTGTAGACAGCCTTTGGCAGGAGAACTTTTAATCCCGTTGGTGATACCAATTTTTTCCAGTGCTGGCCAAAGCTGGTTCTGCTTGAAAAGTTTCGCCGCAACTTTTAGCTGAGTAAAGTGAGTAGAAAACACCTAGAACCAAGTAATTATTACATGTTTACGTGCGCCAGGACCGCGTGTCCCCACCCCTGGAACTCCGCAACGTATCCATTCCGGCTCCCCGGCAGGACGCGATGTGTGTGGGAGCGCCGGCTTCATTCGGCATGCGGCACGAGTGCGCTGAAAAGCGATACTAATGATAAGTTCTGCTTGCGAGGAGAGTCCGTCAGTGAAATGAACTCAATTTGCTACGTTTTACATTACCGATGCCACGGAGCCGGTGAACCCAACTGAACGGACATCATTTCCATACGCGCACGTACTGAGGAGAGCGGGACGGCTGGGAAGGCCGGGAAAGCCAGCCGGCAATGGCGCGGGCTTTTCCGAGTTTTCGTGCTCGGTTGCCCGCAGCTTGATGTATATAGTATGCGGCTGGGGAAATTCTGAAATTCTGCGTCTGGCAGCTGGAAATTGCACTTCTAGGCAGCCCCTATATACGGTACGGGGCAGCCAGCCAGCCAGCGAAATAAAAAATGCACGTGAAATAAATGTTTAAAAGGAGCAGGCACTCGGTGTTCGGCACTCGGCACACTCCGACATCCAATCCAGACATAATGTTAGCCCAAGTTTTCTGTTAACTAAATTTACACACTCGCACTTGCACTCGCAATCTGGGAGTATGCAACTGATTTCATTAACTGCAGTTGGAGTTCGAGTTCGGTAAACAGCCCTGGGAGATCCCAGTCGCCTCCTCCAGTGCCTCCTCCAGTTCTGCAAATTAATTTGTTCGAAATAAGTTGCGCCAGAAAGTTTTTCGTGTTTGTGTAACACACTTTCAGGCGCTCCTAGCTGATTAATAACCTCAAACGTAGTCTGTGCGCAGCCCGTAGCTTGTAGAACGGCCCTGTCTTATTATTATAATGCAGAAATGTGTGTCAGGTGACTTTGGAATACTGAATTATGCACTAGGACTCTTAATGGCAGTCGGGCCCGATTCAGAGTCCTGGTTCCGGGCTGTGACA